TCATAGAGCGCTTAGGGAATGGGAGACAATAAGGTTCGATTCAAGAAAACAGGTAAAATTCCTTGAATCAAGAGTCGCCCCTCACCGGCAACAAGAAAATTCCCTTAAGAGGTTTAGGATTAAAAGGCTATTGAAGTCTAATTTCTTTAAAGCTAATTACGAGGATAACTGCAAAAAATATAGAACTTAAAATCTGAATCAATTTGACCTCTAAATAAAACTGATTTATATTTCCTGGCTCATCTGGCGCTGTTAAACTAACTTAAGACCCGGTCTCTCCCAATTATTCAACAAAGTAAGGAAGTGTTAAGGTTTGATCAGAGTACTAACACTCTCCCTGCGAGGCTCGGCAGCTTCCACCAGTGGGTAAGGACGCCATCTTGGTCTTAACTTAATATAAGATTCATAAAAGACACTGGGTTTTATTTTCGAGATTTATTTATCACTAATTTCCCACATACGTACAGGAAATAATCAGAACGTCTCTAACTCAATAATATACAACAAAACACAACTTTGTCTTTAACTAAATTATATATGAAGTAATATACAAAGAAAGAATTAAAATGACATTGGAAATAAAATTAATGTACAACATAAAAGATATATTTGACCGGTTTTTAGGTATGGGCTGTACAGTAAGCACAACAGACATTTAAGAATTAGCTTATAAACTTGTAGTCATAAAAATAATAATTATAATAATTATAATAATGATAATTTACAACATAACACAATGGCGACCCTCCGGAGAAAAGTTGCCATAACTATTTACAACATAATATAAGACATAAATACCAGAGTTTAGTCAACACCACCATCATCTAAAGTGGACAAGGTCATACCGATGTGGTCCATAAAATGATTACAACAATTATTATTAATGTAAAAATATAAGGAACACTCACATGACGGTAATAACAGTAGTCATCACCTCTGTGAGATCCAAGCGCCCTACATGTACAGTCACTTTCATTATTACTATGTCAGTACTAATAGTATCTCAAATATTCACATTCAAATAGGAACTTTGCGATTCATTTCAGTTATATAAATAATTTTCAAATAAAAGCGAGGAACCGTTTCATGATATAGTGGTCAACTCCAGTTTGCAAAAATCACCGACCCAACACAATAGTTGTTTATAACAAGAACTGAAGAGATATGCTATTCAGTGCCTCGCTCTCCCGCGGGCATAACAAATAGGCTCACTGGTGGCTACACACAAGGAAAAACTTGTCTTATTGAGACATTCATTACATGTGGTTCACAAGTTCCGAGGCTTACAGCAAGGTGACGTTTGTTCTTTAAGGTGTGACGAGCAGCCGTGCCAGCCGCGCTCTCACCCTTACTGACAGCCTGCCGGAACTGGCCAATCACAGTTAATGCTGAATTCACTCCACTGTGTCCGAAGCTGTTAAAAACGTCCAACTCCAAGCTGTCAGTCAGTATGGATTCCTTACGTCATAGTTCTCAAGCACCAAACAATCCACACATCGGTTTTGAACCGCAAGGTGATATTTAAAATTAAAACATGAATAAAAACCCGTGAGGCAAGAAATCAATCACAAAAGCAAACCAGCTTCGTGTACTCTGAACACACCAGTTTCCGTCAGCTTCGGACACATACGGCAAAATCCTCTCTAGGAGAAAAAAAAGTTAAGATGTCACCCAGTGTAGGTAGCTAGATTGATAATGTGGTCTGCAAGGGACAACAGTTTGTGGGTCGTTGTTTAACAGGTAACGACCCTCTGGTACAGAGCCAGTTGGATGCTGGAAGGAACTGTGTGATAGACGCAGGAATAATACAAACATACAAACACACTTACACGTATAGTTAAATGAGGTCAAACTAGCAATTCTGAGTCGTCGCGGCCTTAAACGGAACTTCCCTTTGCATAAGTTGTAGTAGGAAGCAAAGCCTAGCCAAGACCAAGAGGATCTTCTCTCCAGTCGACATTACTGGCAACAATAAAAAAGCAAACCTCTGGTCCCACGAGGCTCAAAATCGCTAATTTGTCCACATGATCTTGATGGAGCAGCGAGCGAAGCCTGCCCCAGCCCCGACCCCTATCAAATCTTAGCTCACTGACCAATGTAAGCCACTCAAAGGGGGGTGGGGGTGGGGGGGGGGGGTGCCGGTGCTCGTACAGGCTCTCGCTCGCCTGCTAATTGTTCGTTCGGCAAAATATGTGCGAGGTAGAGTATGGGGCTTCAATGAGCAGGGTTGTAGTGTCCGCTCTGTTAAAGATCTCAGCTTCATTCTAATTGCTTATGGACTCGAGGACTTGTGGGAGGCGTCAGTAAGATCAATAATCAGATGGCCGGAGCTTAAGATAACACACCTTACTGCGAATGTTATTCAGTTATATATTTTCGCAAGGATCTTCTGTCTCCTTCCGAGGTCATTTATAAACATTATACGTAAACTTTATGTTGATATCAAAAACATACCAACTGTTTTGAGGTCATAACGAACACTACAACCCACTAGTCACAGCTTTACATCTGGCGGCCATTACTTCTCTTGGGTAATGTACAGTATACATACAGTTGCATGGGGACACCGAACGCTTTTGTTGGAACTCGTCTAATTTACAACTGATTTGGGATCATGAATGAATTGTGTTGTTTTCCTCACAGTTTCTAAGTGATGAGGCTGGGAGGGGGTGAAAGGGTATTCTGAAGAGTGACTGACAAATATATATATATATATTATATATATATATATATATATATATATTATATATATATATATATATATATATATATATATATATATATATATATATATATATACATGGTGCCGAATAAGCCGAGTGAAAAATTGTGTAAGCAATAATACAGTGATAATGAATCTGAACATAACGATATATATATATATATATATATATATATATATATATATATATATATAATATATATATATATATATTATATATATATATATATATATATATAAATTTAAATTTAAACTGATGTATGATATATTCAATAGAATTAAACCAGGAAAATATTAGGTTAAATTAGGTTAGGTGAAGTTTATAAGTTAAGTTTTGTGTTGAAATTATTGTTTTACACAATATTTAATGAAAATTTATATCTAAGAATACATTAAAAAATTATTTAATAAGGTCAGTTTGGCTTAACTGATCAATTCGGCGATATATATATATATATATATATATATTATATATATATATATATATATATATATATATATATATATATATATATATATATATAACCTATATTTTGACAGTGAACTGGATTTGAATAACTTGTTTTTGAATAACTTCAGTTGGGTCGTGGAAGACTGAGGAGGAATCTATGGTAGAGTTTTGCATGAAAACACTCGTGATTATCTGCATTATCTCAGGAACCTGTTGCTTGTGGTAGATACAAAGAGGTTTTTTTTAACGCCCTAATGACCCGGATTCTTTGTCACTACTCCAAGGTTACATAGAAACTGGAGTATGAAGAAGTTTATGTGTGTGTGTGAGTGAGTGTGTGTGTGTGTGTGTGTGTGTGTTGTGTGTGTGTGTGTGTGTGTGTGTGTGTGTGTGTGTGTTTATGTAATTTATATATTCTTACCAAACTTTCTGGTTTGTCTAATTCGGCAAGAATAATTTTCTCAAAGAAGAGCTTAATTTTTTTTTTATCTCGACGGAAATTACTCTGGCATCATAAAATTAATATATATATATTAAGCTATGTTACTTAAATTTTAAGAAATTAGGCTAATATTAGAAACGAAAAATTTACGTACATATTCCAATTCACGCGATTATATTCACATTATAAAATTTTAGAAAAATATGTTTTCGCGAAAATTAGGTTTGTTTGACTATTTTGGTTAAAAAGCTGCACACACACACACACACACACACACACACACACACACACACACACACACACACACACACACACACACATACATATATATATATATATATATATATATATATATTATATATATATAACGTATATATGTATATATATATGAAATTCCAAGTGCTTTCGTGACCTCTCACATTATCAAGGAACTATAAAAATAAAAGATTAACAGGAAGGCATATAAGGACGAGACTACATCTCGCTGCTGCCCCACAACATCATCTGACTTTTTATGATGAAGTAGGTAGGTACTGCTCCGTGAAACACAGCCTATATTCTATCCAAAATTTTATTAATTATAAATAAATCCAATTTATAAACCAAAAGAAATATTCATATTATTTTCTAAACTATTTTTTTTACAAAATATGATTCTATTATATTCCTGTCGAGCATGGACTTGCTTAATATAACTTTCTCAGTCTACTGTCAACAGGAATATAATAGAATCAGTTTTATAAAAAGTAGTTTTGAAAATAATATGAATATTTCTTTTGGTTTATATAAATTGGATTCAGTTATAATTAATAAAATTTGGGAAGAATTTAAGGTACATTTGACAAAAATTTTTGGGTAGAATATAAGTTGTTTCACGGATCAGTACCTACCTACTTCATCATAAAAAGTCAGGTGTTGTTGTGGGGTGGCAGCGAGGTGTAGTCTCGTCCTTATATGCCTTCTTGTTAACCCTTTATATTTATAGTTCCTTGATAATGTGAGAAGCCACGAAAGCCCTTAGAATTCCATTATTTTTTCACAGTGGTTGTTCTGCATATTGTTATATCACATGTTTACTGTGAAGTTATTTGCATTATATATATATATATATATATATATATATATATATATATATATATATATATATATATATATATATATATATACCGTATATATATATTATATATATATATATATATATATATATATATATATATATATATATATATATATATACTGTATATATACATATATTATATATATATATATATATATATATATATATATATATATATATTACACTGTATATATACATACTATATATATATATATATATATATATATATATATATATATATATATATATATATATATATATATATATATATATATACTTGGAGCAAATAAAAAGGCTTCAAGGAAATATATTTGAATTTCTTCCTGAAACAGCATGTTGGAAATTTTGTAGTGTCGATTCGCTGGAAAATAAACCCCCTCAAGCAACGACTAAGAATCCGGTCGGTGTGTAACGAGCAATACTTGGGATTATAAGTGTGGGGAGAAGAGGATGCATGCTAAAAGCCTAAATACGATCTCTATAAGCAGACCTAATTTATAAGCTACTCAATTTACAGTCATCTGATATTATCTGTATTAGTAAACGATTATGTTATCTTTTCTACTTTTTTTTAGAAATTTGCTACCGATTGTTTTTGGTTTTGCTAAAATTAGTGAAAAATAATCATTATGCCTTCTGAAACATTCATCACGTGATTAGCATAAAAAGTGGTAGGAACATTAACTAGTAAGTCAGTATACAGCGTTATTCTGGTGCGCGAAAGTCATTTGTTTAGAGTTAAATTCAATTCATATGCTTTGTTGCGAGGTATGATAGTGTTTCACCATTAATAGGCTTTATACTCTATGATCTACCAACGTGACGACAGTCCTAGAGGATTACACAAAATTACATAAAACCAGCTCTAGTGAAGCTTTTTTAAGGCCTCAGACTCAGAGTAAGGCCTGATATCCGGAACTTTCGTAACTTTGCAAAAATGCCATCAATTAAACATCAACACATTAAGCAACAGATTTGTCTCTTCACGAGTGGGGGTACAGCATGTCCGTATTCCCACCCGCGACCTGGGCTTGGGCTTGACACAAACACAGGAGTTGACAGAACGGGTCCGGACAAGCGAGAGTGAACACAGGGTGGGGCCAGCAGCAGCAACACTGGCAAGCGTGACGCTGCCAGGGAGGATAAAGCGTGACAGGGCCAAGCTACACTGAGGCCAGCCCCGGCCAGGCCTGCCCAGGGGCTGCTGCTGCTGCTCACTACTGACCGGACATATTACTCTCGGGCCTCCTAGGGCTGCCCGTAGGGCGTAGTCAGCGTGAGCAGGTGTAGAAGTAGTGGTCCCCTGGCAAGCGTGGCCGGGGAGGACGGGGTAGGGCGGGGTAGCGTGCGGGCGGCGCTGGGTGGTGTGTGGGCGGGACGGGCAGCGGGTGCGGACAGTAGTGGGAGGGAGGGGGACCGCTACTCACCGGCGCCGGCCATCATGGCGTGCTGAAGGAGTGGGTGCGGCGCCCCCTGCAGCCCCCCGAGACCCATCTGTTGATACATCTGCTGCAGGAGCTGCAGGCGACTCAGGTCATCGGTAGTGCTGCTCCCACCAGGGCCGCCCTTCTTCTCTTCACCAGCGGCGGCGACGGCTGCTGGTGGTGAGCCAAGCGCCATCAGCTGCGCCATTTGCAGCTGATGCGCCAGGCCAGCCGCCGGTGTCATGGACGAGGGCGGCCGGTCGACGTCAACAGACATCGAACTCAGACTGGAGTTAAGGCTGGCCGCATCACTTTCTTCCTTCACTTTTTCCAGAAACGCTTTCATGTTTTCGATATGTGAACGCGTAAACAAATGGTCCTGAATGGAGTACTTATGACTGTACTTAAAGTTACACACTTTGCACTCCTCAGGGGGTTTAGGACCCTCGGGCTCTGTGCCCAGCACTTTTTGTAAAGCCAACTTTGCTTTCTTTTCCTTTGCCCGCGCATTCTGGAACCACACCTGCACCACACGCTTGGCTAGCCCTATTTCCCTCCCCAGCAACTCACACTCTGCCATTGTCGGCGTTTTATAATCACGGAACACACTTTTCATTATCTTCACCTGGGTGGCCGACATTTGAGTACGAAACCGCTTGTTTGGGGCGCCATGCATTAGCCCCGACTGCTTGGCAGAGCTAGTGGTAGAGGAGGCGGGCGAGGTCGGGTTGCTCTCGTGGGAGTTCAAGCCGGTATCGCCCTCCTCTTGCTCGCACATGTCCAGGTGGTAGCTTTCCTCGTCTGAGTGATCCTCCAGATGATCGTTGGTGTTGTCCAATATAGATGAGTCAAACCCCAACGGCCGCACCAAGTCTAAGGGTTTACTGAGATCAAGGGGACTCTCACCTTCTCGCCGCGTACCATCTGATGACAAGTTGACATCGTTGAGGTACCGCCGGATTGCCTCCTCGTGGTACATGGCTATCGAGTCTTCCGGAACTTCTGAGGAGAAGAGAGAAGAGGGCATCACTTGAGAAGCTTGAGTTGCAGAAGGAGTTGAAGACAGGCCGAAGTTCCCAACACCAGAGTCTTCTACATCAGGCAGTGTATCTATGTCCACATCTCCCTTAGAGTAATGATCCGCGTGCTTAGTGGAAAGGTGCGACTCAAGAGCAGACTTGACTTTAAAGATAGCAGGACAGAAGGGACATTTTTTGTTAATCACTTGTGCATGAGCTCTAAACTGACCTTTCCTTTCTCGTGCTCGTGTATTCTGGAACCAGACTTGGACGACCCTCTTCTTGAGACCCACTTCCTGAGCAATTGTCTCCAGCATCTTCCGCGACGGGTTGGCCTCCATCTGGTACTTCTGGTATAGGTAGTCCAGCTGCTCTGGAAGGATGGTGGTACGTAGCCGCTTGTCCCTCTGAGCCTCACTGCTGCCGATCATGCTCTCTCTCTCATCCTCACTCTCGTCAGCTTTACGCTTCAGAGGTGAGGCAGGAGGGAGCAGGGGGCTGGGCTGGGGCTGAGGGACGGAAGTGGGCGGCTGTTGCGGCTGTTGTGGAGGCTGTGACTGCTGTTGCTGCTGCTGTATGCTGGTAAAGGGAGAATCAGCACCCTTGTTTAAAAACAGTGCAGGGTTCATGAGGTGTACAATTTGGTGTTCCCGCCACTGCTCAAAACGATTAAATACAAGACTGCACTTATCACACTGAAAAGTGCCCTCACTGGGCTTACTGTCGAGGCCACCGGACTGCTGTGATGAGTCAGTGATGCTGGAGTGGTTGGAGTTCTCATCATTATACAGAGCAGCTGCTTGGGCCGCCGCTGCTTGTGCTTGGGCCGAGCGCTTGGCGTCTTCTTCCTTAAAGCAATGAGTCTTCTGGTGTCTGATGAGCTCATAATACCGTTGGAAGACAAGCAAGCACTTCTTACACTGGTAATTGAGCCCCGGGGTTCGCGTGAACCTGCCTGCACCTTCGTCGTTAGGGTCAATGGGCGGCTGGTTTTCATACACCTTACGTGCCTTCTGGCGGGCGTTCTGGAACCACACCACAATTACACGTGGCGAGAGGTTGAGCAGCTTAGACAAGTACTCCAGATCGTCGTCCTTGGGGTAGGCATTGTTCTCGAAGAACTCTTGTAGCACCTTAATCTGGTAGTCGGTGAAACGAGTGCGGTTAGCTCGTTTGCCTGTGCTAGAGCAGGAGGAAGTAGGAGTGTGGGGAGCGGAGAGCGGGGTCGATGGGAAGGATAAATGGGGCGGCGTGGGACTCACACCTGAGCTTGGAGGAATAAGGCCAGAACTAGGAACTGTGGGTGGTGTGTGAGGCAGCTTGTGAGCCAGCATGGGGTTGGTCTCAAGCTGGGAGGTAATGAGTGAAGTGAGCGAGAGTGACGACTGTGGTGAGGCCAGGGAGGTGAACGATGAGGTCGCCGGCAGCCCCAGCGGTGACGAAGACGCAGACGACACCAACTGGGGACCACTGCTCACCTGTTGTTGCTGCTGCTGTTGTAGGTGATGTGGTGGGAGCAACTGTTGTGACTGCTGCTCACGTTGCTGTTGCTGTTCCAACGACTGTTGATGTTCCCGTTGTTGTTGATGTTGCTGGGTTTGTTGGAGCTGCTGTTGACAATTTATGCCTCCTGACCCACTTAAGCCATCCCCGTTCTTTTCTTGTACTCGGCTATTGTCTTGGTTAAGACTAGGAACTTTGTTGAGCGGGGACACGGCGGCGGCGCGGTCAAGGGCTGGCTCTTCTTGCTCCTTAGGGATGCGTTCTGCAACTCTCTCCTCTTCCCGGGCATTGCTAATCGCCACAATTTCGCGAGCCTCGTCCGGATTGAGCGGCATCACCTTGGCCTCACCTGTCTTCTCGTATTCTTCTAGATTGAGTGTGGTGGACGGTGGGATGCTAAAGTTATATGGCGAATCTTTGCTGCGTTGGCGTTCCTTAAACAGTGTGTTACGAAACCAATGTTTGATCACTTTGGGAGGCAGTCCACTTTGCTTGGCCATTTCGTTGATCTGCTCTTCTGTGGGGGAGTTGTTAATGTCGAAATGACCTCTCAGAATTTTCAGTTGCTCATCAGTGATGCGTGTTCGAGCTCTCTTTTGCTGTGCTGCTGCGGCTGCAGCTGCAGCAGCCGCAGCAGCGGCAGCTTGTTGCTGTTGCTGCTGCTGAAGCAGCTGCTGCTGTTGCTGTTTGATGAACACGGAATGATCACCTTGGAGGCCCGAAGGTCCTGAAGTAGGTGGCCCCTGCTGCTGCTGCATACTGGCGAGGGCCATGTGGTCAAACATGTGTGGAGGCAGCATGGGCGCCAGAGGTGGGTGCAGGTTCATGGCAGCCAGAGGATTGAGCTGCAGTGGCAACCCTGCCGCCAAACCCAATCCTGCCATCATCATGGGATTGAACTGCATCTGTTGCATCTGGGCTGCAGTGAGGGCATTGAGTGCGGCTGCCATCTCTGCCATCTGGGGCGACACGTTCATACCCTGGTGGTCAGTGGCGGGAGACATGGAGCAGGCGGCAGTAGAGGTGGGCGTGATCCCGGGCGTAGGCGTGGCACGAGAGGTGGGCGTAGCCGCGGCGTCACTCCTGCTGCCTGACTCTGCCTCTTTCTCTCTCTCATCTGAAGTCCCCTTGTCACCCCCCTGGACGAGCTCCGCGTCCCGGCCTCGCTCCTCATCTGTAAGAGCAGAGGGATCGCTGCTAGAGCACTGCCGACTAGTATTGTACGCTTTACGATACTCATCAGAGAATGTCTTAAGGTAATCAAAAGGTACACCTGACTTATGGATTTCTTCTAAGTGGGCTTTTAAAACCCATACACTAGAAAATTGTTTATAACATTGAGGACATTTAGATTTACTTAGTTCTGGCAAATGAGAAATATATTTGTCTTTAACGTCCTCAGAAGTCCCTTCATCAGGGTCTTTTGAAGGACTAATTTGTTGATTTTCAACATACTGAATAACTAGATCAAAGCCAAAGCTTTCTAATAGGTGCTTGTGAAGGCGTGAAGACTTTCTGAAAGGTACAGTGAATCTAGAGGTAGAGAGAGATTCTATGGAACATTCAGATGGAGAGAGAGAGCGGTCGTGGGGCTGAGTCGGGGGCAGGAGGGAGGCGCTGCAGAGTGAGGCCCAGGCGGCGTCCAGGGAAGCTGGCGGACTCAAGCTGCTGCTGCTGGCGTGGGGAAGGAATGCCAGGTGGGGTGGCAGAAGACCACACAGCACTGCGTGCTGCGTACCTTGCTCTATCGTGTTCCACACGCCGCCGCAGCGTCCGCAGCTGCCCTGGCCGCTGCCGCCACTACTGCTGCTACATGGGGAGATGCCTTGGTGGTGCGCCCCTGGAGGGGTGCCCTGGGAGTTAGAAGGGGAGCGAGGAGTGTGGGCGTCGTTGAGTGGGGCTGGGGAGGGCTGCGGGGTACTGGTGGGTGTGGGTGGCTGCTCCACTAGTGGGCGCAGGGGATCGAGGTGGGCTGGATTATATTCCGGGAGTCTGGAGGCGCGGGTCTGGTGCAGTACAGAACGGAGGTGGATGTCCAATGTGGACTGTTGTGAGTACGCAACGCGGCACACGTGGCACCGGTATGGCTTGTTTCCCTCCTCCTCCACCACCCCGACTCCACTAACCCGCGGGGGAGCGGTTAAGCCCTCCCCCTGGGGGGTTCGTCTGCCCTCGGTGCTGCTCACTTCAGACTGGGTCTGATTATTACTAAAAGTTGATCCTTTGGATTCTTTATCTTGCATTGCTTTTTTAAGCTTGTGCAAATGACTGACCGAATTATAATGTACAAGCAGAATATTTTTCTGCGTAAACGACTCTTTACAGACGTCGCATTTATAAGGTCTGTTTGGGTCGAGGTATTTTTCCATTGGATAAGTTAGCTTCTCACCACGCCGGTGGAGGAGTGTCTTTTGGTGAGCGGTGAGGTAACTCTGCCTTGTGAAGGCGACCCGGCACCGGTGACACTTGAAGCGTCTGGCCGGGTCACTGTAGTTGTCTAGAGCCATTGTATCTGAGTTGAGGTAGTCCTCAATGGCTTGCTGCTGGGGTGGCAGCGGCGGCTCCTCCGCCCCTCTCAAGGCCTCCTCCACCTCATCCCCTTTGTTGGACTCTCTACGGAGGAGCGCTGTGGTGCTGGGGTCGAGGACAGGCCCCGCCCCAGCCCCAACTGGTGCTCCTACTAAGGACGCCTGGAACTGATGCCGCTCCACCGCCGTCAGCTCTGGGTGGTCTGAGCTGACGTGCTTCTGCAGTGCTCCTAATGAACGGAAATTCCGGTGGCACAAGAGACACTTGGTAGCGTCACGAATGGCATGGTACTGAGCGTGTAACTGCAACTTCTCAACAGTCTTAAATGCCAGGGAACACTGCTGGCATCGGTACTTGTACACATGGCGTTCTGACACGGCCACTGAGGGTCTGGAGGCAGCGCCGTGGATCTCTCTGAAGTGACTGTGCAGCGCCTGGGCTGTATGAAAGTACTGGTTGCAGCCCTTCTTCCAACACAAGTAACCCGGGCCACGAGGGGTCTCTGTGATTGGTGTATGGCCCGCAGTGGCCTGGTGGGCCACAAGGTCTTCGATGGTGGCACAGGCCAGCCCGCATACGCCACACTCCTCCTGCTCCCGGCCCACGCCCCGCTCATCACCTCGCTTACCTGCACCACCTGATGACTGACTCTCTTCCAGCTTCGACGAGTGTCGATGCTGGAGGTGTTCCTGCAAGCGATGATGCTGCTCGCTCTGGTGGTGGTGGTGGTGGTGATGATGATGTTGGTGGTGGTGGTCGTCCTCGTCATCACCTTTACCAGCGGCAGCACTGAGTCTAACCAGCAGCAGAAGCCGCTGGAGGCCGTCAGAGTTGACGGAGTGGATATTGATGGCGTGCTTCTCCAGGGCTGACATGTCGGGACACGCCTCCTCACACAGCGGACACCGAAGACCCGCCTTCTTTTCCCCGCCGTGCTCAGCGTCCACGTGATGCTGCAGAGTCGTCTCCGACTCGCAGGTGAACTGACAGAAGGGGCACGCATGCACGTGGTCCGGGGAGCGGCCCGCATGTATGTGCTCTGGGGAACGGCCCGGATCGTCTTTGGTCTCTTCTGGAAAGATCAAGAAAGACAAACCATCCGTCAGTACACAACGTACTGGCCTCACCTAATGAACACCAAAACTCATCCTACCTGACGTAAATATGAACAACTCTGAAAAAGAACCTGGTTAGCTCATGTAGTAACTTTAACGGAAAACTTGACATAATACAATTAATGTAAACACAAAAAAATATATTGCAAAGGAGGTTCTGGAAAATAACCTATACTGTGCCATTTTTGAAGCCGGATTAATCCTCGTGGGAGATTATTGAGGACGAATGACATAAAAACATTAAGAAATGAGATCAGAGTAAAAATATACAAACGAATGAAACACATTTACAACTCCAGGGTATCTGTATTACAATAAAGATATTTAAGTATTGCAAATGTGTCTTATTTATCATTTTCTCGGTATTGCATACCACCAATATTATGAAAAAAATAACTCAATCAGTAAAGTTTGAGACAAGAAGAAGGAAGAGAGCAAGAAGTGCAGAAAGAAGTTACCTTGAACATAACGCCGAGTGACTGTCTTGACCCTCATGCTAGTTACCTAAACGTACCTTTCCCTACACACCTGCGACTAGTACCATACAAAACTTAACTTGACGCGCCACTCCTTTTTTACTGCACTTTATTTAACGTAAATACAAAAATAGTTAAAAAAAGAAAATGTCTCGGTTTCTGGAGAGGAAATTTTAGTCACAAAAGAAAGCGATCCTCTTTCAGAATTTTAGTTTCGTATGGCGTCGGACAGCGGGCACACAAGCAAGAGAAAAGTGGAGACACTAGCAGCCTCAGGCTGCAAACCCTGACCACTGACTGACGCTGTTGGCTTCTGATCACTTCCTACCCCAGCTAATGACCTAAATGACATTACGCGAGCCAGCTCCGAACGAAGCTTAAGCCCCAGACTACCCGCGCTCATTAAGAGCTTCTTGTCTCACCCCATCCCCCACCCACACCTACTCACAAATCCCCAGCCTCACCAGCACAACAGAAAACAAAAACATCCACGCCTCTCTGCGCTTGGAACAACAACCTTCCTTTTTTTTCCCTCCCTTCCCCATCCTCTTTTCTCTCGATTAGCAAGTTGTATCTTCTCTACACGTCAGAAACAAGTAAACCTTCCTGAAGCGTGGAGACATATCATCGGTGTGATTACGAACTGAAAGTAACTCGCAAGAGAAAGCAGGTAGGGGAGGAGGTAGGTGTTGTGAACATTAGAGAAAGACTAAGTGATAACTTATGCAACTGTGGCAGGTCTTCCTTCTCCTTCGTATGGCTTCTACAAACTCCCCTTCCCTTTCCCCTCCCTCCTTTCTCTCTCTCTCTCTCTCTCTCTCTCTCTCTCTCTCATAATAATGAACCAAGCACGCTGCCCTGTATGCTGGCACCAAGAAAGTCTTGACTGTTCCATTAAGAATACGATCTTAGAAGGTACATGCAGTACATGCAGAAAGTCGATAAACATTCCCATTTCTTCTAACTTTGTTAGTAAGAACGTAGTGTTACACCCGGTGGAAGACTGCTCTTTCTCCCCCCCCCCCCTCTCTCTCTCTCTCTCTCTCTCTCTCTCTCTCTCTCTCTCTCTCTCTCTCTCTCTCTCTCTCTCTCTCTCTCTCTCTCTCTCTCTCTCTCTCTCTCTCTTTCTCATGCCCTTCTTTTCCCTGGTGAGCTAATATGCTTAACCATAGGATTAACAATTACAGAGAATTACTGGGACTTACCACCTGGCACTGCTGTAAGGATTCATTTCCACATTATACATATCCAGGGGAATGGAAATATTAGCCCACTGCTCTAGAACCACCCTCCCTCTACCACCCACCCACTACACTCGATACCGCCTGGCCACCTCGCCAGCCACCCACTACACCAGTTACCTACTAAACTAAACCAATTACCACTATACCAACCACCCACTACACCCAACACCACTACACAACACCCTAGATAAATCACCCACTACATCAACCACCCACTACATTAACCATCCACTGCACAAACCACTTACTATACAAACTGCCCACTACACCACCTACTGCAAAAAATACCCACTACACAAACCACCCACTACAAAAACACCACCTGCTACACCAACTACCCACTACACAAACCACCCAGTACATCAATCCCCCAGTATACAAACCACCCACTACACAAGCCACCCACTACATCAACCACCCACTACATCAACCACCCACTACATCAACCACCCACTACATCAACCACCCACTACACAACGATCCACTACATCAACGACCCACTACATCAACGACCCACTACATCAACCATCCACTACACAAACCACCACTACAGCAACCACCTACTACAAAACCCCCACTACACAAACCACCTACTACACCAACCACCCACTACACCAACCACCCACTACACAGACCACCCACTACACCAACCACCCACTACATCCGATACTCAAAGAAACAACACACTGAAGCGCCTCCACTCCCCTCCCCCCAAAAAAAAATATTTTAAGAAATCAAATTGCACCGAAGCCTCGCTGTAACACCTCTGACACCACTCAATCTCCTGGGCCGGATTCGTCAACCCCCCCAATCCTCCATCATCCACTCAATCCTGCACCTGGATTTTTGCCTGGTATATTTCATGAGTCTAATTAACTCCGCAGACAAGAATATTTATTGTCTACGATTCCTAATTAAGTCCGCCACGTAAGAGTCGCTAAACACCAAAGTTATTTAATTTTCGATTGATCTTTCCAAGGAGGAGGAAGGGGGAAGGGGGAGGGGAAGGGGGAGGGGAAGGGGGAAGGGGGAGGGGAAGGAGGAGGGGAAGGAGGAGGGGAAGGAGGAAGGGAAGGGGGAGGGAAAGGGGGAATGGAAGGGGGGGTACCTTGATATTGACGAAGGGCTTTTGATCCGAGAAATTAGAGCTATCTTTCTCTTCCTTTGGTCAAGTCTGATTACTTCTCTCCTCACCCTTACTGGTCTGGCGCTTCCCTCTTCAATAATAGTAATGATAACGAAGTTGATTTCTTCCGTATGGCATATTAGCTATTCCCTTTAAAAGAGTGCCTTGATATTGGTGAACTCATGGCTCTTGATCCACCTAACTGGAGTTATCCTCCTCTCGTATGAAATCTCGTAATTCCAAAGCAATTTAACCTTGACGATTTTAGATTTTCCCACGACTATTAATAATAATAATAATAATAATAATAATAATAATAATAATAATAATAATAATAATAATAATAATAATTATTAGTTATTATTATTATTATTATTATATTGTCATAGCTTAATGCGTTTTGAAATTTTAATTCTAATTCGTTGTCAGTAACGGAGAGAGTAATGTACAAAAAAAAAAAAGAAAAAAAAAGGCGAAAATGAGACACCTCTAACCATCGACAGATTCAGAGGACTGTTGGTGGTTGCCCCGTGCTAGCCACCACTCTCCCCGTTCTCCCTCCATCCCCCTCCCTCCCCTGTCTATCTCCCCTTCCCTCCCCCCCCACGCTGACATAACTGTTACACCCACATTTACAACACAAAACAATAACGTTAATGAAGATTGAAAACTACAGGGACATTTTTCCCCCGGAGTTAAAACAATGGGGAGGGGGAGGGAGGGAGGGAGGGAGGGGGAGGGTGGGAGGGAGGGAGGGAGGGAGGGATCGAGGTGGAGAGAGGGACGGAAGCAGAGGGGAGGGAATGGAAGGAAGGGGAGGGGAGGGAATGGAAGGAAGGGGAGGGGAGGAAAAAGGGACAATTCGGAAAGGAAAAAGGGAAACGGAGATAGAGAGAAACTGGATAGATGTGGATGGGAGGGAGAAGCGAGCTGAGGGGGAGGGAGAGGGAGAGACGGAGAGAGAGAGAGAGAGAGAGAGGAGAGAGAGAGAGAGAGAGAGAGAGAGAGAGAGAGAGAGAGAGAGAGAGAGAGAGAGAGAGAGAGAGAGAGAGAGAGAGAGACGTGGAACCAACCAACCCGGCGCCACCACAGACGATTTGGGCAATTGTAATCATGGGGATATTAAGTGATATGTCCTTGGCGGGTTTAATCGCTGGAAGGACTTGGCCCAGAGTCTAAATTAGTGGCTGAAGCTTCTCTCTGGCTGGTGGAGATAAGGAGTTGTCAGCAGGGAGGAGGAGGAGGAGGAGGAGGAGAAAGAGAAGGAGCAGAAGAGTATCGGGGAGAACAAAAGGTACATAAGGGCGTGAAACAGTGGTATTCGCATCACTCACTGGCCCTTATCAAAACCACCCATATATTTATCCAACCGTTTCCCACAGCTACCCAAGAATTTGTTTCCGAACCCCCAAACAACAATCAAACCTGGCCCTGCCGAATAGGTAAAACTTGTCAATTAGCAAGAACTCATTTCAAATTAAGTCCTTTCTAAAATTTTCTCTTATACGTTTAAAGATATATATATATATATATTTTTTATTTATGTTAATGTAAAAATAAATAATTTTGTACCAAAAGAACCGTAGAAAACTTACCTAACCTTATTATAACAAGAGTAATTTAAGTTAGCATAATCCAACTAAATATATTTAGACAAGTTTACAATAATTTAATAATAAACAAATACAAAGAAATATATTTTTTTCGTTAGGTTCAAATGATTTTTGCGAAATTATTGCATACACAAATTTTCGCTTCCCTTATTTGTCAAGAAGAGCGTTGCTATTTTAGCCAAAATTGCAAGTTTTACCTGGTCTGAACGTGTGTGTGTGTGTGTGTGTGTGTGTGTGTGTGTAAGCAGTAACAGTGACAACGAACAGAAGCTACAAGAGAGAGTCACTACAAAGAAAAACAGCAACGGTAACAACGAACAGAAGCTGCAACAGAATCACTACAGGCAGAAGCAGCAACGGTAACAAGGAACAGAGGCTGCAAGAGTGTCACTACAAGCAGAAAGTGCTACCCGCCGACAATGACAGGACATCCGTGCATAGCATCGACCTCAGTACACCTTCAACCACCACACAGCCGCCAGCGTCTGCAGCAGCACC